TCCCCTCGTTGTTGCTGTCGCTCTCTCCCTTCCCGCCCTCCCCCCCCCCACTCCTCCCCTCCTGCTCTCTCTCTCTCCCCTCTTTTCGCAACCCTCGGTTGGATAGCTTGCTCTTGCTTCGCCCTCATTCTCTGCCATGCAGACGGCCCTCCGGCCGGCGGTATTCGAAGTCCTGGACTCGGGCCCCCGAGACATGACTGGTGCCATCGAGGATGCCCAGCAGCTGCTAGCTTCCGGTGCGTCTTCCCTCCCGGCGGACGCCCCGCGCGCCGGTCCTTTGTCCACCTCGCTCCAGCCCAACTCACCCACCTGTTTTCCCTCCACCGCTCGGGGTACTTTGACCCTGGGCTACATCGTCTCCTTCGCCCACCCGCCTCCCGCCCCCCCCCCCCGCCATCATCGCACTCGCCAAGCTCCCGTCTCCCCCTTCCTGTCGGAGGAGTTCGATGCCATCCGCCATGCAGCGCAACTGATCACCAGTGGCGTTGCCAGTGGAACGACCGCGGATGGCGATCCGTCGGGCTTGGCAGCCGTGGCAGGCGACATCCGCACCGCCATTGAAAGGCTCTTGGCCTCTGGTTTGCCACTTCTCCTGCACCGGATCAATCTCGTGTCTCCCCTGCGTGGTGCGCTTCCCGGTGCCTTGCACCATCCAATCCGCCTGCTTGGATGCGCGGAGTCCTCCCGAGAAACAAACAAACAAACAAGCCAACCAACTAATGCCACCCTGTCCCCTCCCCCCCCCCCCCCGGCAGAGCATCTGCCGGAGATTCACCGCAGTGTGCATGGCCTCCTGCGAAGCATCGGTGATGGCAGTGCCGATCCCGGGGCCCAGGGCGCGTCGCTGCTCGGCCTGGGGCCCTTTTGGGCGGATGCCCGAGCCGCGGCAGGCGATCTGACCCTGCTGGCCAGTGCGACCGACATCGCCGGACACCTTGCCCATGGGAGCAGGCTTTTCGCCGGATTGCAGGATGCCTGCCTGGCACTGCACCGGTCGTTGGCCGGGAGCACCCACCCAGACGCCGAAGGCCTGCCGGATCTGGCACCGGAATTCCTGCTCTGCTGCCAGCTGTATGCCGACTGCGGTGTGTTCGTGTGCCGGCCTTTCTTCCCGTCCCCCCCCCCCCCCCCCCCCCCTCCCCTCCTTTTTTCTGTTGCCTCACCGCCAAAGGGGGTGGATTCCCTCCTGCCGCTGACTGACCGTCCAATGGCAGTGACACTCTTCCGATCGCCGGTTGTTCAGGACATCGTCTCTGCCCAGGCGGACCTGCGCAGCCTCCAAACACACTACCAGCCCTTCCTGTCTGCCATTGGCGATGGCCTTGCCAATCGCCTGATTGGGCAGGTGTGTACCTCCCATGCAGATGCTCAGGACCTGCTGGTGCGTTTTCCACCCCGCCTGCCTCGCATGGCTTCTTCCATTGTCCCTCCGGCCTCTTCCTGTCCCTTTCATTTGGCCGAGGTTGATGATACTGTCCCCTCCAGCTGGCTGGCACGCTGACTCCCCCCCCCCCCTTGCCCTGTGTATCTTTGCCATTGGTATGCAGCTGCCCCGGCTCAAGTGCTTGGCTTTCGTCTTCTGCGGCCTCTCGCAATTGGGCTCTCTCTTCCACTCGCTTCTGGCCGCCCTGGCCCAGCCGCTGGCATACTTCATGAAGACCGTTCACCACCTGACCCTTCAGGTGGGCGCGACTGCCGGGCTCGCGGCCTCCCCGGGCCACCAGTACTCGGCTTTGGTCGGCGTATGGGATACCCTCGCTGATTCCTTCCACCGGTACGTCCCCCCCCCCCCTCCTGCCCCCTGCCCCTTCTCTCTCTCTCCGCCTTTGGCAGGTGGCCTCCCTTTGGCGTGGTCTCACCTGTGTCTCCTTGCCTCACCCGCTTCCCGCGGGCTATCCACGACCATGGACCGGACTTTCGGCATGGCGATCGGCCAAAAGGATTTGCGTGATCGAACATCTTTTGGACTTGCTCCCTGATGATCTTCTCCCGCCCGAGACCCTGGGCTTTTCCGGCCTCCTCCGGCACGCGGTCGCCTGTTGTGTGGTCTTCCTGTCGGCGCCAGCCTGGTCGGTGCCGGCTGATCAGCTGTACCTGCTCAACTCCCGGGCCATTGCCAGCATTGAGCGCAGCCTGGCGGCCAATTTGTCGGCCCCCCTGCCGGACGTCGTCGGCAACTTGCCCGCATCGTTCCTGTTTGCCGGGACCTCTTCGTATCCCCTGTCTGCGGTCTTTTGGGCCATCTGCCACTTTGAGATGAATCGAACGGGCTCAGGTACGCATGCACCTGTCCATTTGGCCTGCGCTGGTCCCCGCCCATCCCGAGATGGGCTGGGTGTCCCGTTTTCCCGCTATCGTCTCCTCGTGTCCCTCCCTTCCTTCTTCTGCTCCCCCCCCCCTTCACACACACACACGCGCGCACGCAAATGATCAACATTGACACGTGCCTCTTCAGGGCTGTCGCGCTCGATTGAGGAGTTGCCTGCCGCCACCGCCACCTCCGGCATCGGGGTGTCGAGCTTCAGCTCGCGGAACCCCTCGGAGGCGCGATTGCTCGGCTTCTGCCAAGATTGGATTGTCTCTTCGCGGCGTTTTCTCTCGCGTCTGGAGGACTTCTCCGCCCCGATGGCCAGCGCCTCCTGTCCGCCGGAACTCCTGTGCGTCATCCGCCCTCCCCCCCTTTCGACACATGCTGCACACGCGAGGGGCTCTTTTTCCTGTGCTCCATGTCCGGCATGCTGACTCCCCTCTTGCCTCGAATGGCAGGTCTTGCATTCGCCACATCATCCAGGACTCGGCCACGGCGCCGGTGGTCCGGGCGGTGATCGGCCACCTGGCTCGGAAGTCCTTCACCCTGGCGGCCGAATGCACTGCCTCTCTAGATGCGCTGGAGGAGCGAGCCGCCGCCCTGTCCAGTGCCCCCGTGTCACCGGCAACCCCCGATGTGCGGGATTTGTCCAGCCTCCTGCCGACCGACGCGCTGCTGAGCGACCTGGTCAGCCAGCTTATCGCGTGCGTGGGTCTCCCCGGCTTCCTGCTCCGCTCCGCTCCGCTCCTCCTCCCCCACTGACCGACTCCCCCTCCCCGACCGACCAACTTCGTCAATGGCTCGCATGGGCTGCGCTGTGGCGACCTCTTCTTGGGGTTCTATTGCAGCGAGCTTCGCGGAGCCCTCGGGGTGGATATCGGCCACAGCTCGGAGGTGCTCCGAGCCTCGGGCCCCCTGGCGGCGCCGGTGCTCCCCTGCACCAGTCTCGGCAGCTTGTCCCTCTTCGAGGGCGTGGCCAGCGCCAGCTCGCGGTGTTGCCAGCTGATCGCCGCACGCCTCGAGTCAACCGTACGTCCAATGGTGGATGCCTGGCCGACCCCGATGTCCATCCTTCCACTTTCTCCCTCTGAAGGTGCCTCTCTTGGCCCCCCCCCCCCCCCCCCCCCACCCCCGCCCATCAGACACTAATGACATGGTCCGATCCCTTGGCCCAGGCCTCCTTGCTGCCAGCCGTTCGACTTCCCACGGCCCCAACTAGCGCCTCGCTGCCGCCCCTGCTGCAGCTTCGCATCAAAATGGCGGCCACCGCTTTCTCCTTGAGATCACTGCTGCTGGCACGCCTGGAAATGGTGCTCCCCGGGGAGTGGGAGTCAGCGCATGGGGCCGAGTTGGCGCACTTCCGCCAGACACTTGAGCACACTTTCCAAGACCCGCTGGCCTTGCTGGATTCGTTGATTTTCAACACCCTCCTGGGGCCCCTGCTCCTGGAGGACGCCACCCGGGCCCTGCTCATCGATGGGTGTCTTCACTCGCTGGCACTGTCTTTCCATCCCGGGTGCGCATCGGTGGACGTGCTGGCCCCCTCCTGCCCGCCAAGATGGCTGACTCTTCTGATCTCTCCCCTGGCCCTCGGGCCTCCCTCTTGCTCCATCCCTCCTGGCAGCCACTCAAGTCACATTCCTTCATCCTTCTCCGGGGTATCTCGACACATTGACGCCCTGTCGCGGCGGGTGGTTTTCCTTCGGCAAACCGTCCTTGCGCAATTGCCCGGCATTGGCGGGACTCCCTCTTCCTCATCTTCGGGGCTGGCCACAGCGGCGACCGCCAGAGCCGGTGACACGGAGGACTTTGAAATCTTCTTCCGATGGTTCGACCAGACCCCCCCCCCCCCGGCTCCCCCGTACTCTTCCGCGCTCACTCGCCCACTCGCCCGCTTGCTAACCGCCTTTTTGCCACCCAGGACAAGCATGATGGTGGACTGCCTGGCCGATGCATTTGTCTGGCGGCTGGTCCTGGCGGTTGGTGACTTCCTCGGGCTCACGTGTACCGGGGCGGCGGGGTCCAATCCCCAGCAAGCCGGGGCTCATGCCGCGCGCGGCGGCGAGTATGGCCTTCCGGAGTCCGTGCGCGTGCGCCTGGCCGATGACACCGCACGCGTGGAGGCCCTTTGTGTGGATCTATTGTGCCTGCCGCCGGCGGTGACGGCCGGCACGGCGGGCAACGGCGGCCCCACGGCGAGCGTCGACACGCGCCTCTCCCCGGCCGGTCTGGATGGGCGCCTTCACAGTGTCCGTGGCATCCGCGTGCTCCGTGCCATGCAGTGCGTGCCTTTCTTTCCTCGGGCTTGCCGCTCCACCTCTGTCGGGCCGGGGTTCTCTGTGATCCCCTCACCTTCGGCTGACCCCTCTCCTGGTGCTCCTCCTGGCCCGCGGACCGAAGGTCCCTTCTCTTCCATACGCCGGAGTCTTTGCACCAGCTGATCTCGCTGCCGGTGCCGGGGTCCACAAACGGCGGTGATACCACGGAGCCGGCCGCCTCGCCGCTGGCCTACTCGTCGGCAGCCACGATCCCGATGTTCTCCCTGGATCCCTTTTTACTGGCACACTTCATCCTGGCCCTGTGCCAAGCCAAGTCGGCCCCCTTCCTGGTGATGCCGCACACCCGGTGCGTGGCTGGCGTTGGGCCCGATCTCCTCTCCGCGTCACGCCGGCCAGGCTGGCCCGTGCGCTGACACCCTCTTGCCCCTCACAACACCCTCCAGGCTGGGCATGACGACCGACGAGTATTCCGATCGGATTTTGGCCGAGCGCGCGCTGGCGGCCGGGGGTGACTCGCCGCCGGCCGTGGATCCGGTGGTCCCCGGCGGCCGGCCGGCATCCAGCATGCAAGCCCTGGCGGCGGCCACCATCTCCGACATCGTGCGCACGGGGGCCGACGAGCTGGCCCGGCAGGCAGCCGGGCCGGCCGATGTCCCCCACTTCCTCCAGTCGATTCTCACGCGCGTTGCCGATGTCATCTCCGTCATCCCCGTCGGGCAGGTGGCTCCGCTGTGAAGGGCCCCCGCCCGGCCCTCGGCGTCGGCGGGGGCAGGGCGTGGCGTGGCGTGGCGTGGCGTGGCGGCAGGGGGGGGGGCGGGGGGGGGGGGCCCGGACGCGGCGGAGCCGGCCGGGCTCTTCGTGCTGCTGTTGGAGTTCCACATGCAGAATAAACCCAAGTGATGGAGGCAGGTGCCTCGATTAAATGCCACTGGATCGCTCGATCACATGTCGGTGTGGGCGCTCCGCGATGGATTATTCCGCCGCCAGCAACAGAGGGAAGCACTGCCTTGGCGCGCGAACGCGCGCGCGCGCGCGCGCATGCCCAGCTTGGATTGCCCGGCGCTGTGCCGAACACCTGCCCGTCCCAGGGCCGTCCGCATTAGCAATGCGCGTGGGGGGGCGTGTGTGTAAACGTGCGTGTTTTCTTTTTCATCCGCCTGCATGTGAGCGAGAGGGAGGGAGGGAGAGAGAGAGAGGGGGGGGGGGGGGGAGAATCGGCGCGTGTGCATGGGTGCCTGCTTTGGGCAATGATCCCCACGCCCCAGATCGCCCGTTGGCCGTGGTTCGTATGTCGACGGCCGATTTCGTGGCGCCTCGAAATGCAGGAGAAAGTGACGACCGCGCCAAGAAGGTCGCCTCTCCTTCTCCTTTTGGGCAGGCCCACTTGTGGATGTGCTGTTCCTCGCCATGAGACAGGAAAGCTCCCTTCCCCTCCCCCGCCGTCCCTCTTTCGCTCTCTTCCTCCGGTCTTTCGTGGCTCTCTCCCTCCCCCCCTCCCCCCCTCCCCCCACTCCTCCCCCACCCATCCGCCTTCTTCGTCCCTTCGTCGCCCGGCTTGCGGATGGTGAGCCCGGCATTCTGGCGCTACTCGGGCATGGCCCTGGGCGTGCTGGCGGCCCTGTCGGCCGGCACGTCCTACGTCTTCCCGGCCTACTATACGGATATCCAGCAGAGTCTCGGCTATTCGGACACGGAGATGGCGGTCATTTCGGGTGTCGGCAACAATGGGCTCTACCTGGCCGGCGTGCCGCTCGGGATGCTGATCGCCTCCTTCGGGCCAAAGGTGCGGCCTGGCCGATGTCCCCGTGCTCGTGAGGTCTGCCCCCCTTCCCCTCGGTGGGGCCGTTCCATTTTTCTGACCTCCTGCCGTTCGTTTTTGGTGACCCCCGCCAGCCGGCGGCCCTACTTGCTGCCGGCTTTGTCGGCATGGGGTATTTGATGATGTCTCACTCCATGGAGGGCACCTTCGGGAGCGTGTCCTTCCTGCTTTTCACCTTCTTCTTTGCGATTGTCGGTGTGGGTTCGGCATCGGTGCGTGATTCTGTCAGGGCCAAGAGCCCCCCCCCCCCCCCCCCCCCCCCCCCCCCCCCCCCAGCCAGGGGGGGGGAAGAAAGAAAGAGACAGAAGAGCAAGAAGAAGAGCAACAAGAAGAAAAGGAGGAGCGCACCTTGATCGAGACATTCCGACGCTCGCGGATGACACGGCCCAGCTCGATGATGCGCTGCATGGAGCCCATGGCGCGCTCCATCTCCGGATCGAAGTAGGCCGGGTTCGGCACGGGGAAGGAGGGAGAGGCCTGGATGTTTCTGCCCAGTCCCCGGAGAGCGGCGGGTGCGTTACTTCGGCGATGACCCCCCCCCCCCCCCCCCCCCCCCTCGGCCCTCCTATGGGCTCCCTGCCTCCCCTTGCTCCCGTTGCTTGGCCCCAAAGACGCGCGCCGATTGACATCTCGCCATAGCTGAATCTCGCTACACTGACGACCAACACCCGGAACCTGCCGGCCCATCATACGGGGCTCGTGACCGGGGCCACTGCCGCTCTCTTTGGGCTGAGTTCCCTGGTGTTCACGCAGATCCTCACGCATCTGTTTGCCCAGCCGGTGCTGACGCCCCCGCCCGGCTGGCTGCCGGCTCTGGGAGATTCAGGCGGAACACCGGGGTTCCTGCAGTTTTGCGCCTTCTGGGTCCTGGGCATCGGCGTCGCCGGGGGGATTCTCTTTAAGTTTGTCGGGCCACCAGGCTCGTCGAATCCCCTGGCCGGAGGCATTTCCCCGTCGCCCGGGCTGGCAGCCGGAACTGGTGGCAGCCTCTTGCTATTGGATGATGGCTCTTCCGGCGATTTGACGGACAATGAGGGCGATGGCGACGACGAGGCCAGCTTGACCGGCGGGGGCCGGGCCGAGTCGGCCCCGCTCCTGGTGTCCCATATGCTCAGCTCCCCGGAGCCCGAGCCCGACGTGCGTCCCTTCTCTTCCCCCGGTCCTCTTTCCGGGCGGCGTTCCAGGGTCCACCTCCTCTCCATGCTGTTGACCCTCCTTGCTTCGCCTGGTGCCCCCCCCCCCCGCCGGTTGCGCCTCCCTCCACTCCATCGAGAAGTACCTCTATTGTGAGTCTTCCCCGAGCACCACAGCCACCATCCGCAGCGAGGGACACGCCAGTGCCATGCTCAAGGAGAGCCGCGCGGCGCATTTCGACTCGTACTGCTGGACCGACCAGGGCGGCCTGCGGCTGGGTTCCCTGCTCCAGGTGCGTCACCGTCGTGGGGGACACTTTACCTCATCGCGGGCCTTTGCTGATGCGATTATGGCCGGCGTGCCTCCTACCCCAGACCGTGGACTTTTGGCTGCTCTTTGCCATCATGTGCGGGGCCGCGGGGGCCTCGCTCATGTACAGCACCTCGTACGCCCATAGCCGAAGGCCGGCATCTGCCCCCTCCCCTCCCCTTTTCCTCGGTTCCCTTGCTGACCGCCTCCCGGGCCGCTCCTTCCAGCATGGGCCGCATCATCAAGCTCCTTGTTCCGGATGATTCCCAGCGAAGTGGCGACTTGACCCATCTGAATGTGTCGCTGCACTCGGCCGCCTCGTGCCTCGGGCGATTGGGGTCCGGCATCCTGCAAGATGTCCTGAGGACGCGGCATGGGGTTCCCCGGCGGCGAACGCTGCTCCTGGGCCCGGGGCTGGTGCTCATCGAGCAGGCAACCATGCTGCTGCTGGTTCCGCGCATGGGGCCCGACTGGCTGGCCCTGTCGACGGTGGTTGGTGGCCTGGGATTTGGGTGTCTCTTCGCCGCCGTGCCGGCGGCCTGCTGCGAGCTCTTTGGCCAGCGGAGATACGCGGCCAATTGGAGCGCCGTTTGCATTGGCACGGCCATCGGCGCACAGGCTCTGTCGCTGGTGTTCGGGGCCGTGGTCGACGCCGGGAACAACGCCGGGTGCTCGGGATTCAGCTGCTTCCGGGACGCGTACCTCGCGTCGGCGGTTTGCGTGCGTGGCTTCTGGCTGTTTTCCGTTGGATGTGCTGCCTGCTTTTCCGTACACCTGCATGTCCTCTAACGCCCTGGACTGCCTCCGGTTCTCCTGTCCCATGCTTGTCCCTCCCTCGCCTGTGTCTGCCTGTGTCTGCCTGTGCACGTATGCGGGCTCCCCCTGAACCATACGCCAGTCGGCCTTGGCATTCGGCCTGGCTCTGTGGCTCTTCGCCCGACGTGCACACCCGGATCGCGCGCCGGCCTCCTGTACCACCGAGGAGCTGGGTCTCCTGTGAAAGGGGGGCGCCAGGCGGGCGCATGCATTTTTTTTATTGAGGGCGACCAAAATAAGACATACTAGAGTTGACAACGCACCTGGGTGTCCGGGAGATCACGGGGCGAAGGTGGCCGAGCGTAACCCTATATCTCTCCTCGTGATTCGGTCACACCGGTGTGGGATTGCCACTGCCATGCCGAGGCAACTCCAGCCCTGCGGCCATGAGACCGTTATGACATGCCATTCTGGGGAGTTCTCCATTTGCGTGCGTGCTTTGTCCCAGCGTCCAGCCCTTGTCGCGGTTTCAGGCCAGGCAGACGTGGGTGCCTTCTCGCTCGCTTGCCCTCCTGGGCATTTTCCCCTCTGCCCCCGGTCCGTTCCGTGTTGGTCTCCCTCCGTGAGCACCAGCCCACCGGTGTGGACACCAGGGCGATTGCACGTGTGTGTGTGTGTGTGTGTGTGTGTGCGTGTGCGCGACAGTGAAGGGGACAAACACACTAATAGCCTGGTAAATATTAGCCGAGTATTGGACAGCTCGATGGGCTGGCCTACTGCCAATGGGCAGAGCACACAGCTGCCATCGCCACCCCGAGAGCGCCGGCATCTCCCCGGCCCCAAGCCATTCCTCTCGAAACACATGACGCCCCGGCGAGGAGGCTTGGCCTCCGGGTCCGTTTGCCCGTTCTCCCGCTCCCTGAAGGGGGGAGGCCGGAAAAAGGCTCTTTGATGGCGGGTCATCCCGACCTGACCCCCACGGCCGCGCCCCGCCTTCGCGGCTGGCGCCCGGCGATCCGGGTCCCCCCTCGCCTTGGCCTCTTTCTTCCCTCGGACTTGCATGGGCGGCGGCTCCTCGGGGGGGGGGGGGCCGGGGAAGGTTGTCGGTGTCTGGGCTAGACCAATGCGCGGATTTTAATTGGTTCTCGTCCGTGTCTGACACAGGGGGAAATGCCAGACCACACGATGTGCCAAGGGGAGGGGGCGGGGTCTGCCCGCATGTGGGGCACCTTCGGGCACACGCAGCAAGGTTTGTGTGTGCGTACGAGCGGTCCCCAGGGGGTGGGAACAGGATGAATGATGCGCGTCACTCACGTTGCCGCAGCGGGCAATGAGCCACTGGGCTGGCTGTCCAGGGGGCACGGGTGTGGGCCTACGGGATGCGCGTGCGTGCGTGCGTGCGTGCGTGCGTGCGTGCGTGCGGCGCGCCGGGGTGTTGGTGCGTAGACGGTGTCGGTGCAGGGGGTTATGCCCCCCCCCCGCCCCGACCAGATGGTTGGCGTCTATTCTGCCACTGGGGGGCGGGGGGGCTGCCCAGCGGGGGAGGAGCGACCCAGTGAGCGTACCGGCGGCGCAGCGGTGGATTCGGTGTCCGGTGTGGGAACTCCGCAGCCGCCTGGCACTCTGGCCGCCTGTCGCAGGGGGGGCACCTGTTGGGATCCCCAAAGCGGGCCGGCAGCCAATGTTGCTGGCGATGGGTCGGAGCCTTGCCAGCCTCCGAGGCGTGCATCATCCTGCCCCCCGGAGGGGGCCTTGTTGTGTTCCGCCCCCCTCCCTTGCCTGTTCGGCTGGCTTGTCTCGGCTTCCATCTCTTCCTCTCGCCTGGGAGATGTCCCCGTGAGGGCGGCGGGCGTTTAATTCCGGCGCACTGTCACCAAGCACTTCCCCTCTTTCCCTCCCCCCCTCTCTCACATTCGTTTTCCTGGTGCTTCGCTCTCTCTCTCTCTCTCTCTCCCTCCCACTCTTGGGGACATATGCCCTTTCCCTTGGTCCTGTGTGCATGGTTCCTGTCTGTGAGCCTCGAAAATGGCTGGCCGCTCCTTTCTCTCCAGCCGCCCAGGGGGGGGGGGTGGATCGCGTGCTTGGACGGCCGGGGGGGGGGGAGGGACGATGGCTTTTTCGACCGGAGGAGGCGTGTCAGACGGGAAGGTGCGCCACACTTGCGGGGGTGCACTTCCACTTGGGCGGCCCGTGCTCCTTTGAATGGCGCATGTAGCCAGCCACCGTCTTTTCCAGGAACTCCTCGGCCCTTGGGGAGACGCGCGGTGCACACGCGGCTCTGCCCCCCTTGCCCGAGGGCCCCCGAATGGATGAACCGATCCCGCCCCCCCCCCCCCCCGACCGCGTCGACTGGGGGTTTTCCATGATCCACCTCTCGGGGCAAGGACGGGCCGGGAGAGCGAACGACGCACAACATGTCACCTGCGAATGAGCCCGGCTCGGGGAGAGCCGACTCCCCGAGGTGTGGATCAAAGCCCAAAGCCCGACCTCTTTCTCTCTCTCTCTCTCTCTCTCTCTCTCTCTCTCTCTCTCGCTCGCTCTCCCGCCCAGTGGCGGCGTCGTGTCACACGACAGGCTCATATGGGCTGGAGGGCTGGCCCGCTGGTCGATGATCGATGGGGGCCAGGCATCCCCTGGATCAATCACCGGCAACCGGCGTTTTGGGGGACCACCGCGGCCGACCTTCCCGGAGCGGTGCCCTGACCCCTGAGACCGAGGGGCCCAAGAGGGGAGGCAAGGGAGCCAGGGCATGGGGGGAGATGGGCCCCGGGCCGCGCTCGGGCACAAATGTGCCACACCCAAGAGTGTGGCCGGCGATCTCGGCCCGCATACACCTCACGCCGCCGGTGGCCTCTGGCTAGTGCCGGCCGGCCGGTCGGTCGGTCGGTCGGTTGGCCTCGTCCCGATCCCCCGCCGCGGGGGAGGCCGTTGGGGTGGTGTGAGGCCGGCAGATTGCCCGCCGGCCTCCCCCGCGGCCCCCTCATTTCGCCGTGGAGCTAGTCAAGGAGCCTTGGGTGCCATCTTGGTTGGCGGTTGCCGGGATGTGTGTTTGTTTTTTTCCCTGCCCTCGTGTGAAACCGCCTCTGGTTGCTGTCTTTTCCTGTGTGCATGTCTCTCGCTCTCTCGCTCTCTTCATTGGCCCACAGGCCTGTGGCATTTCATGATCCGGGACCACCCTTCTGTCTCGACGTCTCTCAGCTGCTGCATAGGAGGGGGGCGAAGAGGCTGAGAGAGAGAGAGGGAGACTGATGCGGCGGGGGCGTAAGTGCGCGCGCGCGCGCGCGCGCGCGCACAGGCCCGCGCGTGAAGAGCAACCAAATAATACGACCCCCTGGCCTGGAGCGCCGCACCTCCTCCCCTGGAAATCCATCACACTCCTCCCCCCTCGCCTGGGTGTTTCTCGCCTGCCTGTGTGCTCTCCTCCTCCGTGCCAGTGGTGGTTCCCTCATCGCCGTCCGGTTGTCCTCTCTCCTCCTCCCGCCCCCGCCCCCGCCCCCGCCCCCGCGTCCACCCGCCTTCTTGGGATTGTCTACCTGCCCCGAAGGATCGCCCTGCCTGGCACTCTCGGCTGGCAGCCTCGGATTGTCGGAGCCCATCGTCCCTTTTGCTCGTCCTCCTTCTCTTCACTTCCTCTCGCATTTCAAGGCCGAGCACCTTTTGTGCTTCTGCATCTTTCGCGCACGCGCTCGATGCCTCGCAAGCCGGCACATTCGCATCCCGTCGGGGGTGCGCCCTCGTGCTCATGGAAGCTCTTTCGCAACTTGGTACGGGCCTCCATAACCATAACCCCAAAGCCCGGGGGTTGCCCCATGCCCTCGCCTCCATCTTGCCTGCCTCCTGGCTCCCGCCCACCTGACACCGTCATCCAGAACTCCATGGACTCGGGCACCAATGGCCACTGCACTCCTGAGGCTTTCCATGTTCACGCATTCCCGGAGCTGCCCTCCTGCCCGGTGGCCCAGGCCATGTCGTCTCGGCACCTGGCCGAGGACTTCACCGTCGACGAGGGGGTCTCGCGGAGCTGGAACTATGCGGCGGTCGAGGCTGCCAATGAGGTTTCCCGACAGATCATCGAAGCGGCTCTGGCCTCGCGCGTGCGTCTGCCCGATCTCCCTTGCTGCGTCTGCTCCCTTTGCCCATCGGTGCGGGGCCCCCACCGCTCTTCCCCTCTTGCCCGCTCACTCCCTCCCCCCTCCTTTCTTTCTCTCTCTCTCTCTCTCTCTCTCGCTCTCTCGCTCTCTCCCCCCCTCTCGGGCATGCGTGCCATGTCAGTACCGGCATCGCCCTGCGGTCCTCGGCGTGGACTTTGATGTCTGGGCTTATGAGCGGCACGATTTGTATGCCATCGGCCTGATGATCTTCGAAAGCACGGGGCTCCTGTCGCTGCTGGTGCGTGCGCGGCGCCTTTCAGCCATGCTGCCCGGGAGGCCTTTTCGCCTCGGTCCTCTCGTGCCACTGGCTGACACTTGTGCCTTCACATGCGACGTCCCTCGGTTTCCCCCCCTCCCCCCCTCCCCTGGGGCTCCCTTCATGCAGGGGCTTTCTCCGCGGGACATCCTGCGCTTCATCGCCTCCGTTGACCGCGGCTACTATGACAACCCGTACCATTCCTTCCTGCATGGCTTCGATGTCTTCCAGGTTCGCCGCCTCTTTTGCCTCGTGCCGTTGTCCCCCCCCCCCCCCCCCCTCCCCCCCGCCGGCCAAACTGCTGTCTGACATGTGCCCCTGCCTGGGCCCTGTGCGCGACAGTCCGTGTACCACACCCTTGTGGTTCTCCGTGCGCTTCCCCCGGAGCAGCTCCCCCCGCTGGAGCTGGCGGCCATTCTTGTGGCGGCTCTGTGCCATGATCTGGCCCATCCCGGGGTGAACAACCTTTTCCATGTGAATGTCCAGTCGACGGTGGCCATCCGGTACAATGATACCAGCGTGCTGGAGCATCATGCCTGCACGCGGACCTTCGAGCTGCTCCATCGTCATCGGCTCTTCCGGAATCTGTCCCCGAAGGAGGTGGCCACCATGCGCAGTGTCATCATCAAGAGCATTCTCGCCACCGACATGTCATGTCACTTTGACCAGATGGAGCAACTTCGCCGGCTGGCCGAGACCAAGTCCCCTCTCGATGGCGAGGTGCACATTTTCACCGACTCCGAGCGTCAGCTCCTGCTGAACAGTGTCCTGCACATGGCCGACATCAGCAACCCCTGTCGACCGTGGGAGCTCTGCCGCAAGTGGAGTGACCTTGTGGTGGAGGAGTTCTTCCTCCAGGTGCGCCCGGCAGCCTCCTCGCCATGCTCTGCATCTTTCCCCTGCATCTCTCTCTCTCTCTCTCCCTCGCCCCTCTTTCTCTCTGTGCATCTTCCCTTGGATCCTTCCTCCATTGTGTCCACCCTTGTTTCCGAGCTCACAGACCCATCCGCTGTTCGCCTCACGCCGTGCATTTGCCGCGCGCGTGCCGAACACCACATGGCCCCTTTCGCAATCAGGGTGACCTGGAAAAGAGTCTCGGCCTTGCTGTGTCGCCGAACATGGACCGGGACAATGCCTGCCGGGCGGATATAGCCATCGGCTTCATGGACTTCCTCGTGCGACCCTTTGTGGCCATCATCGGGGGGCTTATCCCGCGATTTGCTTCGGTCATCCTGCCGCGCTTAGATGAAAACCGAGCTCGTTGGGCTCGACTTCAGGCACAGCACATGATCGCCGATGGTACGCACGCATCGCAGCCGGCGCCTGGGCTCGGGGGGGGGGGTGTCTTTGTGCTGTCACACACACACACACACACATCTCATGCTTGTCCTTCCCCCCCCCCTGCTCCTCTTTCATTCATCCTTCTTCCCCCGGCTGACTCATGATCTTGCATGCTTCCCGCCCCTCTCTTTCTGTCTCCATCGACCCATAGAGGTCCCAGAGTGCTGCTTACAGGCACCCTCTCCACTGCCATATGTTGGCTTCGATGAGGCATACTCTTCGACTGATGTGCTCGGGGATCTCCCTCCCCCGTCACCCGACGCCGTGGCTCCTGTGGCGGCGATCCCGCCTCCCCTGCTGAAGGAGCCATCCTCCCCGTCACCATCTCTCAGCGATGCGGCGAGCACCTTTCCGCTGATTTCCTCCTTCGACACCGCGTCGCCCTCGCTTTTGTCGCCATCCCCCTCGCAGGGGAGCATCTCCGCGGCTCCCGCTCCGGAAGTCCCTGCCCAGCGCCGGGGGTCCCTCAGCTCCACGTCGGCTCTCCTGTCGGCCGGTGGCGAGGTGAAGCTAAGCACCGCCCCCGGAACCATCACCCTGCCTCCGGAGCTGGTGGCCACCGTCAACGCCGGGTATGCCTATCCTCTGGATTCCGCCTTCCCGATCCTGATGCCTGGATCCCGGCCCGCCTCGACGTGTCCCTTCCTCCACCGGCTGCATCATCCCAGGTGTGTGATCGGCGCACCTCCCAACCCCGTCACCTACTCATGTCCGGCGATTGGCCGCCATTCTCTGTCTTGTTGCCTCTCTCTCTCTCTTGCTCTATGTGCTGCTCTCCTAACTTTTGCCTTCCGCCTGGCTGGTCATCCGTGCCACAGTGCCAAGGTCCTTGACGGGTCCAGCGGCGGGGCCCATGTCATCTGCCCCTTCCGCGGCCAATCCCTCCTGGGACCCCACCATTTCCATCATCACCATCATCATGGAGTTGAGGGCCATCCCGGCCTGGCCTTCTCCCGGCTGTCGATCAACATTTCCCATCCCTATTTGATGCTGGCATTCGGCAACCAGGTGCGTCCATGCCCGCCGAGGTGGGATCCAGCCACCGGCCGCACTCATGCGGACATCCCCCCCCCCCCCCCCGGCTAACCCCCTGCGCCATGTGGGTTTCTTGCCTTGCCTCCTGGTCCCCCGTGCGTCGGTCTCCCCTCGGGTCTCTTGCCTTGGCCATTCATCTGAATTCAGTGCGACGTGGCGCCGCCTCTTCTGGAGCTGGCCTGCTCCCTGCTGGCCCTGGACCACCATGACCACGTTTTCGTGCCGAGTGCCCTGGACAAGATGGACAACTCGCTGGACATCCAGGTTTCCAGGGGCTCCGCTCTTCGGACGCGTGAGATCTGCCGGCTAATGGAGCAGTTCTGTGCCCAGCGTCTGCCGGACCGCACGGCCAGCCGAGTGCTGCTCGGCACCTCGGCCCTGTGCCATGCGTGCCCGCCTTGCCCACATACCGGCCTCGTCGGGGAGGCAGACAGCGATGTGCGTCTCTTCAACCTTCTCCCCCCTGTGATCACACACTCCGTCTCTCTCCCTCCCTCTCTCTGCCTCCCCCCTCTCTGTGCCTCCCTCCTCTCTGTGCCTCCCTCCCTCAATCTCCCTCCCTCCCACTTCTCCTCCTCCCTCCCACTTCTCCTCCTCCCTCCCGTGTTTTCCATGTCTTTCTGTGCTCCTTCTTGCGCTCCTTCCCCTGCCTTCCAGTCCCATCGCTAACGGGCTGCTACTGATCCCCCTGCGCAGGAGCGCTGCTTCCGGACCCGAGTGCAAATCGTCTGGCCATTGCCGATCACCGGGCGCCTGAGCACCTGCCAGACGTACGTCCAATGCGCCGAGGCCGCCCGTGTGGAGGCTGCCCTGAAGGCCGCGGCGTCGATGGCCGCCTCGGCTTCAGCCTCGCGCAACTACCCCGCCTCGGCGGAGACTCGCCCGGCGTTTGAGGCCCCTGCTGCCGCCACGGATGCCTCTGCCCCGACCGGGGGTGCCGCTTGTCCTGCGTCTGATGCTGCGGCTGATGCCCCTGCGCCTACCGCGGCCATTGGCGAAACGATGCCGATGCCGGCCGCGTCGCACTCAACACGCTTGGTTGTCGAGTCGGATCCGGCTCCATGCTTGCCCGGCCGGCCGGCCGGCCCTTCCTCGACCCTGTCTCTCCCTTCGTATTTGGTCCATTCGGATGGCAGCGGCAGCCCGAACTCCTCGACCTTCGGGTCTTCCGGGGCACTGGCCAGCTCGGCCGGCGACTCGAGCGCCTGCTCGTGCGATGCAGTCCCGGCTGCCGGATCGTCGCAGCCCACGATTCCCACCTCGCTGGACGGGACGTCTTGCATTGTGTCCGTCCTCCCGGCCTCGGAGGTGGCTCTTTGTGTGGACTCCGAGGGACGCATCATCCTCGGGCACTTGTCACTGGCCCGGCATGATAGCCCCTTTGACATCTGCGAGGCAGGCTTCCTGTCGGCTGCTGCGGCTCTCCTGGCCCTGGCTGTTGGCCTGCCCTCATGCTTGTGCCCGGCATCCGAGCACTCAACCTGCCCGAGTGCAATGGCGGTCCAGCAATAGAGCTTCTCCCCCTGCCCGACCGCCGAGACTCGCCCGCCGATCGGTCTCCCTCCGCCTACTCTCCTCCCCCTCCATTGCTGGCCTGCTTGCCTCTATTCCCTCCCTCCCTCCCCCCCCCCTCCCCGCGGTGTCGGCATCTTGTTGTCTATTTTGTTCATATCCTTTCTCATGTCCTTGTTCGCACGATTTCCCCATCCTCCCTCTCTTTTTCGTTCTTCCTCTCTCCCTCTCTCGTTACTCGCCCGGCGCTTGTCTGGCTCCTTCATCCAATACACCGGCCCACAAAAGGCTCGTCTGTGCTGTGGGCCACCCCAGGGTCCCCCCCGCCTCCCCTTCCAAGAGGGACCCGGCCACCAGAGGCCAAGATGGCGGGGCCGATCTAGCATGATCACGTGTCCCATTGCGTCGATCGCCGCCCCCCCCCCCAGCTTCTTGTCATGTTTACCTCGGTGGAGAGGGTGTCCTGTGCGGAGGGGACATGGTGGATGCGTCGGTGCGTGTGTCCCGGCGTCGAGCGGGGTCGGGCGCCAGCAGACGCATGCAGCGCCCCGCCCCCCCCCTCGCGTATCAAGGGCAATCCTTGCCCCGAGCGGGCTGGCCCTGGTGTCAGTCTCCAGGGGTGAGCCGGTGCGTCTGGCTGCCGCCATTTGTCCCGATCCCCGGCGGCGGCGGCGGCGCCCAGAGGGGCGGGCATCCCGGGGCGGGGGGCACCATTCTTCCGGTGCCACTGCCCTGAGCCCGGTCCTCTGAGGCCCCCCATCCATACCCCCCCCCTGTTTCCTACCACGATCCTTCTCTTTTCTACCCACCTTTTGCCCCTTTCCTCCCCTCCCCCCCTCCTTGCCCCCCTGCGCCTTTCTCTTTCACCTTCGAAGTTATGCAGACGGACGACGTGAGCTCGATCACCGCCATGGGCTTCAGCGAGAAGCGCGCGCGACTTGCCCTGGCGTCGACCGGCGGCCAGGGCGCCCAGGCAGCCATTCTCTGGTGCGTTGGTCCACCCGGAGGTCCCTGCGGCCTGCCCCTCGCCCCGCCAGTCGGGGATATCCCCGGCTGCCCCTGCTGTCTCTTTCCCTGACCCTCATCAACCTCACGCGCAAACAGGCTCACCGAGAATGAGGATGTTCCCAGTGATTCGGAACCGGTGTCCTCGTCGATGGATGTGGATCTGACCAGCGAGGCGACGTCCCCCGGGCCGGATGGCGATCAGTCCATCAACTCCTACCAATGTGACGAGTATGTGTCGCATCCTGCCATGCCTCCCCCCTCTCCACCGCGTGGGTGTCTGACGTTTGCCCGGTTGACAGCTGCAACAAGCAACTCCGCAATGAGGATGCCGTGCACTTCCATGCTCACAAGACTGGGCACACGAATTTCTCCGAGAGCAGCTCGGTCATCGCCGAGCTCAGCCCCGAGGAGAAGGCCAAGCGATTGGAGGACCTGCGTGTGCGTCGCGTCTGGCATGTCCGCGTGAATGTGTTCTCCCTCCCTCCCTCCCTCCCCCCCCCTCTCTCTCTCTCTCTCTCCCCCCCCCCCTGAGCCCATGGCTTTGGGCTCTTCAGCCTCTCGCTCGCCCTGTCTGCGTCCTTCTCCCACTTCCTCTCGCCCCCTTCCTCCTGTGCCTGGCCCTCCCATCTCTCGCCCCGCCTCGCGCTCCCCGCCTGCTGCCTGTCTGACCCATCGACCCCAGTTGAAGCTGCGTGAGGCTCGCGAAAAGAGGGAGGCCGCGGAGCAGCTCCAGTCGCGCATGAGCGAGATTGACCGGCGCAAGACCGGGCGCGATTCGCAGAAGGCCCAGCAGGAGTACAAGGAGCGCGCGCGGCAGGCGGAACTTGCCCAGTCGCGCGCCGAGCGCAACGCCGACGCCGCGTACCGGGCCCAGCTGATTGAGCGCATCGCTCGCGAGCGGGAGGCCCGTCGGCGGGAGCTTGCCGGCGAGTCGGAGCCCACGGCTGCCGCCCCGGCGGCGGCGGCGGCGGCTGCCGCCCCTGCCCCCGCCGCCCCGGCCATCACCGTGGACCATTCTTTCGCGCGGATCCAAGTCCGGATGACTGGCGCCGCGCCGCTGGTCCTCCGCCTGCCGGCCGCCAGCCCGCTGGCCATCCTCCGGGACAACATCCTCCGGACCATGCCGGACAGCCCGATCGACCCGCGGTCCCTGATGCTGATGACTTCCTTCCCCCGGTGCGCGATTTTTTTTCTCCCCCTCCCCCTGCTTCTTCGCTCTTGTGGATTTTTCGCAACATCCACCGCCCTGGGGGTGGGGCGTCTTTCTCCTTGCCCCCGCTTCGCCTTCTTACCCGGAGAGCGCGGCCTCCCCGTCCCCTTCGCGACCCTCCTCTTCTTGGGCGTAGCCGTGAGTTCACCGAGGATGACATGAGCAAGACCCTGGGCGATCTGGGCCTCGTCCCGTCGGCGGCCATCGTGGCTTCCATCCGGTGAGCAGCACCCCGGCCCCGATGGGGGGCAGGTGCGCCAAGCCCTTCCCTCGGCCCTTCTTCCTCCCGCGGGAGTGTCTCTTTCCAGCATGGCCCTTCTCGCCTGCCTCCCGGCCAGTTGGCCGGGCAGGAGCCTCGGCCGGCCTGTCGGCCAATAAAAGTCCCCGGCCCCGCCCCACCGAAAGCAGCACCAGGGGCCGCCGCCGCCGCCGCCGCCGCCCGGGGGGGGGGCTGCGCGGCTGCCTGGCCAAGTTCTGGAGATCTTCAACAGACGGTTGGATTTATTGGTTTCTTTCGGCGGGGCGCCATGAGAAGAACTGAATGGCAGCCACAGGGTAAGGCAGGGGGGAGGGAGGCGGGGGGGGGGGCACCGGAGAGCGAGGGAGAGAGGCAGGAGAGAGAGAGAGGTCATTTTTGCTTGTCGGCTTTTTTTTCTACTCCCTGTCCTCCTGTGTCTTGGCGGCTCAACGGCTGTATATCAAGGGCTAGAAAATGGGCGAGGGCGGTGGCTCGGGCACAAATGTGAAGAGGGGCGCGCGCGGAAAAGGGGCGCAGGAGGGAGGGAGCGCTGCGGAGGGGAGTGCCCGCTGCCCACGGCTGGGGACCCGGGGGCGGCCGGCTGTGTGTCCGGCTCTCGGTCTCTCACTGTGGCGCCGCCTTGTCCGAGGGGATTCGTCAAAGTGACGCTCCTCCCGCGTCTCACATGGCCTTCGCCTTGTTCTCCGGGCGGCCCGGGGCAAGGGCGTCCGGACCCTGGCGGCTGTGCGTGGCAAACATGTGGTCCCAGATGAGGGGGAAGATGATGTTCGAGGCGCCCATGAAGGCCGAGAAGGCGGTGGCCACGGACCGGGGGCTGGGCCGGGAGAAGAGAATCATCACCACGGAGAAGATGGCCACGGCGAAGAAGTGCACCAGCAGGCGGATGGGGTTCGGGGTGATGCCGCCGAGGATGCCGAGGCAGTCGGTGCCAACGCGGCTGACATACCGGAAGCAGGCATTCCGCAGGGCCACCATCGGGAGGATGTGGCGCTCGGCCGGGGCCATCAGGCTGTTGGGCAGATCGGCCCCCGGGGGGAAGAGCGGGCGCAGGCTCGGGGCAAACATCGGCAGCGGGCAGTTACTGAGGGCCTTGACCGGGGGGAATTGCAGGAGCTCCTCATCGGAGGGGCGCACGCCGCCGCCCCCGCAAAAGACATCGTACAGCGCCTGGGCCAGGATGTTCATGGAGGCGGACACCCGCCGGCGGGTGGCATAGAAGGAGCTGAGGGCCTGAATGACGCGACCGGTGTCGGCCAGGGTGTCCAGCGGCCGGAGCAGGTCCGACACGATGAGCACATCGGTGAAGGCCACGGTCATGCCGCTGCCGGTCAGGGGGTGCCGCATGTTCAGACTGTCGCCCAGGCAAAAGACGCCCGGGCGGATGAGGGCCCCGGCCGTGAGCAGCTGGCAGGGGACCGAGCGGATGGGGATGGGCGACCCATCGGACCGGATGACCTGCTCGCGGAAGGGCCCGTGCAGGAAGGACGGCAGCTGGGGAAGGATGTGCGCCAGGAGATACCGGGCCAGGGACTCGTCCGACTGGGTGGGCAGCGGGTCCGGGATGTCGATGAGCATGCGCAATTCCCTCGGAGAGATGGCATAGCAGAGGACCAGGCTGGAATTGCACATGATGACCATGCCGTGGTTCGGCAGGGGGAGGGGAACATCCCGCAGGAGGAGGGCCGCAAAGTGCGACCGATAGACCGGCTTGTTGAAGCTGAGCTTGGCGCGGAAGCGACTGAAGCTGCCGCAGCAGTCGAAGTTGAGATCGCCATGCGCGATCTTGGTGGGACGCGGGGCCGGGGTGCGAAGAGGGGGAGGGGGGGGGGGGGGAGGGGGGGTCGGTTTGCGGTGTGGCGGGGGCCCGGGGGGGGGGGCCCGGGCAGGGGGAGGACAAAGGGAGGGGAGGGGGGGGGGGGCGCCTGCCTGTCCCCCGCCCGCCCGCCCGCCCGGGGCCCAGGGGAGGCAGCAGGGCGACGCACAACGTCGACAAGCTCGCCGGCTTCATTCTTCTGGCGGTACTTGACACCGATGATGGCCGGGCCATCCTCCAGCAGGTCGACGACATTGGCCTCGACGATGGTGATGCTACAGCCGATGGCGGGGGGGGGGTCGAGAGGGGGGGGGGGTCATTGGAGAGTGAGTGGGCGAGTGGGAGGGGGGGGGGGGGGGGGGAGGGGGGGGTGGGAGAGGGGCGGGTGGGGGGGGGGGATGGGGGGGGGGGGGGGGGTCATTGGAGAGTGAGTGGGCGAGTGTCTCGGTGGGGGCCGGCCATTTTTTTTTCCCTTCCCCCCCCAACCGGCGACGGGGCGTACTTGGGGTGGGCGGCCGCGCGGCGGCGGAGATTCCCCACAAGGCGGCCATGGTGGAAGCTGTACCCGGTGGCCGGGGTGTTCGGGATGTGGTCCTTGTCCGAGGGGTAGGGGATCTGCGTGAAAATGTGGGTGTCCGACCCGTCGACGATGTTCTTCTGGGACTCGAAGGACTTGGGGTCCACCTTGGGCCGGTAGACCACGTAGCCGTGGCAGGCCTGCGCATCGATGCCGGCGATGCACTGGCCGAGGCCCATGCGCTGGAGGGCGCGCACGCCACCCGGCTGGAGGAGCTCCCCGCGGAAGGTGTCGGGATCACGGAGGTCCCGCTCCAGGAGGAGGACGCGTCGGCCGTCCCGCGCGAGGTTGTAAGCCAGGGAGGCACCGGCGATGCCGGCCCCGGCCACAATGGCGTCGTACTTGACCGGGGGGGCGCCGGCCGGCGGGATCGGCGCGGAGATGATCGGCTCCGCCGGGATGTAGTCCTCGCTGGCGGCAGCGGCGGCGGCGGCGGCGGCGGCGTGGGCGGTCATGATGCTGATCCGGAAGACGAGCGGGGAGGCGCGCGCGCGTGTGTGTGGG